ATAATGCATCATGCAATGCATGGAAGATAATACAAATGCTAATCAGGAAAATGACGTTACCAAGTGGCAACTTTTTTCCTACATTTGTTGGGGTGACAAAATCCACTTTGTCTTTTTTTTCTTTTTTTATGTAATGTTTTTCTCAGCACCCTTGTGAAATGAATAGAACAATGAAAAATGGAAAGAAATAAAAAAGTAAAAGAATGAGACAAATGAATAAAAAACAACGAAAATGAGAGAAAGGAATGACAAATAGGTTTAGTAGAGGGTGATAATAATAAATAACCCACTTTAGTAATAACATGGATTAATATTTTATGTTAAAAAATATAATTAAAATATTAATATTTTAAATCGTGAAATAAATGAATTTTTTTGGGGGCGTTAATCATCACTATCCAGTATATTTACACGCTTTTTATTTTTCTTCTTATTATTTTAAATTGTGAAATAAATGGTTTTTTTAGGTGTTAAAGCATCACTTTCCAGTATACTTACACGCTTTTTATTTTTGTTCTTTGAAAATTGACACGATCTCTTAAAAACTTTATAAAATAAGCTTAAATAAAGATGCACTAATTAAGGCAATAAATTTGAGAGTTACATGATGTTGCCAATGTAAGCCTATAATTTCAAGTTCATAATTTAACTTTTATTAGGTAAGGTGTATTTTTGTCAACTATGTAGACGTTAGGAAATCTTGGCCAGGTGTGTACCAACCAAAATTTATTTATTTTCCTAGTTGTCCTCACATACCTCTTTAATTAATAAATTGACACATTACAGAAATTAAAATTCATAAGAAAAATTAAAGAGAAAAAGAGAAACTTCACTCTTTTTTTCTTTTCTCTCCTTTTTCTTTTTCTTTTCATACACATAATAAATAGAAACTGATGTAACAATAAAAATAATATTTTTCCTTTAAATTTTGATAATACAATGTGTATTCTAATATATTAAAGCATTGATATACAGGGCATAACATGTTCGGGATTGGCTTATTACTTGCAAGGAGTGGTGATGAAAAGTAAAGGCCCAGTGTTCGTGACAGCATTTAATCCTCTGGGAATGGTAATCGTGGCTATCATGGGCTACTTCCTTCTGGCTGAGCAAGTTTTCCTTGGAAGGTAATCATGAAAATCAAGTACCTATGAATCTAATGTTTTTTTAGTACCTATGGTATCATACTAACCAAAACCATGATAAAATCTGATAAATGTTGCAGAATGACTGGTGCCGTAATCATTTGTTTGGGCCTATACTTTGTGGTGTGGGGAAAAAGCAAAGACAATTATGGCCCAGAAGACCCAAATACTCAAGAGCCCATAGAGGAGATGGAAAGTGCTAAGAAGGAAAATTTCACTTGCTGCACTCATGGAGTCACCACTGCTACCAATTTAGGAAATGGAAACACAACTCCAAGTGAAGAACAAGTGTGAGGAAAACTTGCCAATTTAGTTTCTAAATCTTCAACTATTTTACGACATTCCACCAATGTCTGTATAAGCAAAAGCAGCCATGTTTCTTCCTGGTTGTTTAATCTTCCAAGAAATACAACATCACAGAATTTTAACGTTGTATTGTAAGTTATCTAAAACAAAGTAGGTAGATATGTAGCACATAGCATTGAGACAAGACATAGATGGCGGTGCTGGATTAAATCCACTGGATAAAATGAATGAGAACATCACAGAATATTGTGTTGTATTAATAATGATCTTGACAACATAATCAATTTACCTTCATGAAATTTATCGACTATAAGCTACCATGAATGATCCAATTTGCAATACATATTTCATTTTGTCTGGTAAATTCGCTACGATTTTCTCAAATGGGTGAAGGATTCAAAACCTATGCATTGACATCGGTCAGCAAAAGGTGTATCAAAAGATTGCTCCTATGAAACCAACAAAGATTGTCCTATCTTGTAACTCAAAATTTCTCCTTTTGTAACAATTGTTTTACTTGCTTTGCACATATGTGCTGGAGTTCCCTGCTGCTTGAGCCAAAAAAGATTCTGTAAAGGAGGAAAGAAAATCAAATGTGAGAAGGAGCGTCTTGGATCAATGTATAGATATTAGAACAATTCAGAAAACACAGCCTAAATACCTTTCCAAATGCAGAAGGATTTCTGATTGATAGGTGAGCCAGTTACAGTCTGAATAACTTCAAACAGCATGCTCTTTGGAGTGCTCCTAAGCTCTTGTACAACCCCATAAATAGTTTTCCCATTATCAAAGTAAATGTGATTATTGGGGTGTTTTGTCTTGCAACCAGCATGTCGCTCAAATTCATATGCATTAATAACCTGGAAGAAATTTAATATCAGTCAGAGATAGCATTTTGGCTCAAAAAAGGATTCTACTGTATGATAAGGATCAACCACACACTTTACCTTGGAAAAATTACATGAGTGACAACTGCACAGATACCCAGCACCTTTTATAACACCTCGAAGTTCCTTCTAACAAGCATAGGAAGAACCAGACATGTGATGAATGATAAGCTACTTTGAAAGATGAACTCATTAATACTAAATTTTACCTCCCGTGACCACGCCTTATACTTTACTGAGAGACCATCCAGCATACCAGTGGATAGCAAACTTCTCACATTTGAAGGGAAGTTGTTTGAAATAGCCCTCTTAGACACTTTTATCTCCTCTTTTGTCCTGAGAATATTTTCAGTTGCAGGTGCAGATGTCTGTGTTGTACTTGAAAGTAAATTAGAACTAGATGCAACCAACTCTTTCTCTTTCACAGCTTCTGACTTGTGTGAAAGAGCTTGACACATCAACAGTTCATAGTCAGAAATAAACAAATCTGAGGAAGTAGTGTCATCCTCACGGTTACCGAAACATATGATAGTGCTCTCTCCTTTATCATAGGATCGTGGAACGAATGGCACATCATTACCCTCCTTGTGGTAGTTGTAATGAGATGACATAGTGCCATTGTCGACCTTATTGTATAGCTGGTTGGTTAACATAGAATTGCCATGACCCTTATTGTAAGCTTGAGCAATAGATATTAGATTTCTATCATCCATTGATATCGTATTACAAATATCATTGAATGTTGGATGTACAGATAAGCTGTCATTTCCCTTGTCATAGGATTGACCCATTGACATGAAATTGTTATCAGTCCTGTCATAGGAACCATCCATTGCTATCATATTGGCTCCCCCTTTGTTATAGTTGAGATTTGTTGATATGGAATTATCACCAGCCTTGTATAGACAAGGATTTGACAAAGGGTCACTGACTCCTCTATCATAGGGACTGTTTGCAGTAACAGACATGACATTCTCGGATCCCTTCACCTCGTTTACTCTGACTTTTCTAATTCCATCATAGTTAAAAACTAAACGAGGATCTTCTAATGCAGTTGATATGGATAAACCAAACGAGGATCCACTCCCAAAGGGGTCCATATTATCCTTTCTTTCCACACTCAGCTTGTCATCTATGCTAACAGAGGGAGTATTTGCATCTTCAAAAGGCATATTTACAGCATCTGGGGCAAATACTTGTTCGGCAAAATGGCCATTTAAGGAGTGAAATCCTGAGGAATTTCCCCAGGAAGGAACATTCGAGTTGAGAATTCCAGATAACAAATTGTTTGGAGCTTCTACTGCTTGTTTCTTATTGGGAAGCAGATCCACATCAGGGTCATCCATGAACCATGAACAAGCACGCTTGGAATCAATTCTAGAAGAATTGTCATTTGCCATGTCACCATCATTCAAACATTCAGGACCCTTTCCCATCCAAAATGCTTGATTGTGGAACGACTGTCAAACAAAAACCATTAGAAAGGTGCTCCTTCCTACCAAAGAATTTCAATGTAAAAAACCTTGCAACTAAATCCGAACTGTAGATTCATAAACTTTTGCATGCATCTTGTCACCAATAAGGAAAATGACTTATAAATACCAGTTCCATTAAAAACCATGAGAAAACAAAAATACTGCCTCGCCTCCTCTTAAACCTCTACATCGCTTCACATTTTCTATAGACCCCTTAAATTATGAATGCAGAAAATGGATCTGAACCAAAAATGCATTTCCAAGATAAAAAAGAAAAAAAGATGAAAACACTCTCATCTAGCTCTAGATTAACACACAGTGAATATGCATGCAAATACGATTGTTTCAATTAAATTTCCTAATCAAGTTGTCATAAATTTAACCACAAATTTCACCTATAGCTAATTGCGACCAGCAAAGGAAATAAAAAACAAAAAATAAAAACAGAAATTTCGACGAACTTATAGATTAGCAGAAAACTGCTTCATCGCCCCCTCCCCCTTCCCCACGGACCAGCTATGTAAAGATTTGCAACAAAGACCAACATGAGATAAAGATAAAAAAAAAATGCATGCAATTAGAAAAGTATAGGCAGATTGAGCATAATCAATGTTTAGTGAATCATGCAACAAAAGACATATACCGATTATAACTAGAACAGAATGGGAAAATTCCAAAGCAAGACACACATTTTCCTTACAAGCAACACAAAGTTTCGGTTGTAATTAAAAATGGAGCACAAAAGCACAAGCAGCAGCAAACAAATACTCCATGCAATGAAGCAGGAGCGAAACATACCATTTCCCTCTTCACTCGTTACTAAGAGAATGAAAAACTATGTTGGTCTTTCCAATGAAACTTGCCAATCGATAATGAGTGCTGCTTAGTCGAGAAAATTTCCTGCAACCGAGCACCCCCAAAAGCAACTTAAACTAAAAAGCATTGCTTTATTCGAAAATGGAACATGCAATGATAAAAACGGCATCTTTGGTGGGTGCAGAAGGTAATAAAATTTGGGTGAAGAAAGAAGAGGAAAACTCACATGTCAGTGAAAGGAGGAAGCGGAAAAGAAGAAAAAGAAGAGCATTTGCATCGGTTTTGATTTGATTGTGGTAGCCAAGTGAGTGGAAATGCGTTACTGTGAATGAAGCAATGAAGCTACGTTTGAGAGAGAAGGGTTGAGAATGATGCGAAGCAGAGGCACACGGTAAGATCGGTAAGAGGAAGTAGAAAGATATTGAGGATTTTGTGCTTGTCGGAAAAGTTAAAACGTGGTGCTCCGCACGATCCCATCGTCACGTTACATCTTTGCCGTACACGTGGCGTCATCGAGTTCTGTGCGTCAGAGGTTCATCATACGCCGGCTGCCTCGCCTCCTCTTACCTCAGTCACTGTCTATTCTATAGTTTCGGTTTTTTTGAAAAAACTAGAAACATGTATTCTCGTATAAACTTTATTCAAACTAGTGAAAACAATGTGACTTTATAATTAATTTAATTAAATACATAATTAAGTTGAAATAAATAATGATTTAAAAGAATAAAACAATAAAATAATTACTTTAACTTTAAAATAAAATTTTAAAAATAAAATTAGAAATATAATTATTTAATTTTAAAACAATAGTTATTAAAAAGTAAAATTAAAAATATGTATTTAAAAAAGAAAATTTCTTTTACATACCTATAAATTAAATAATACGACCTCTATATTATGATAACAGTTCATAATAGAGATACTTACGTGTGTTAAATATTACAACCTCAAAAAATAAGGTTTAATTGAACTTTTATTAGAAAACTCATTTTAAGTGTTTAAAATATTTTTAGTTATGGTCTATGTATTCTATTTTTTTAATTTTTTNGGATTAATATTTTATGTTAAAAAATATAATTAAAATATTAATATTTTAAATCGTGAAATAAATGAATTTTTTTGGGGGCGTTAATCATCACTATCCAGTATATTTACACGCTTTTTATTTTTCTTCTTATTATTTTAAATTGTGAAATAAATGGTTTTTTTAGGTGTTAAAACATCACTTTCCAGTATACTTAACACGCTTTTTATTTTTCTTTGAAAATTGACACGATCTCTTAAAAACTTTATAAAATAAGCTTAAATAAACATGCACTAATTAAGGCAATAAATTTGAGAGTTACATGATGTTGCTAATGTAAGCCTATAATTTCAAGTTCATAATTTAACTTTTATTAGGTAAGGTGTATTTTTGTCAACTATGTAGACGTTAGGAAATCTTGGCCAGGTGTGTACCAACCAAAATTTATTTATTTTCCTAGTTGTCCTCACATACCTCTTTAATTAATAAATTGACACATTACAGAAATTAAAATTCATAAGAAAAATTAAAGAGAAAAAGAGAAACTTCACTCTTTTTTTCTTTTCTCTCCTTTTTCTTTTTCTTTTCATACACATAATAAATAGAAACTGATGTAACAATAAAAATAATATTTTTCCTTTAAATTTTGATAATACAATGTGTATTCTAATATATTAAAGCATTGATATACAGGGCATAACATGTTCGGGATTGGCTTATTACTTGCAAGGAGTGGTGATGAAAAGTAAAGGCCCAGTGTTCGTGACAGCATTTAATCCTCTGGGAATGGTAATCGTGGCTATCATGGGCTACTTCCTTCTGGCTGAGCAAGTTTTCCTTGGAAGGTAATCATGAAAATCAAGTACCTATGAATCTAATGTTTTTTTAGTACCTATGGTATCATACTAACCAAAACCATGATAAAATCTGATAAATGTTGCAGAATGACTGGTGCCGTAATCATTTGTTTGGGCCTATACTTTGTGGTGTGGGGAAAAAGCAAAGACAATTATGGCCCAGAAGACCCAAATACTCAAGAGCCCATAGAGGAGATGGAAAGTGCTAAGAAGGAAAATTTCACTTGCTGCACTCATGGAGTCACCACTGCTACCAATTTAGGAAATGGAAACACAACTCCAAGTGAAGAACAAGTGTGAGGAAAACTTGCCAATTTAGTTTCTAAATCTTCAACTATTTTACGACATTCCACCAATGTCTGTATAAGCAAAAGCAGCCATGTTTCTTCCTGGTTGTTTAATCTTCCAAGAAATACAACATCACAGAATTTTAACGTTGTATTGTAAGTTATCTAAAACAAAGTAGGTAGATATGTAGCACATAGCATTGAGACAAGACATAGATGGCGGTGCTGGATTAAATCCACTGGATAAAATGAATGAGAACATCACAGAATATTGTGTTGTATTAATAATGATCTTGACAACATAATCAATTTACCTTCATGAAATTTATCGACTATAAGCTACCATGAATGATCCAATTTGCAATACATATTTCATTTTGTCTGGTAAATTCGCTACGATTTTCTCAAATGGGTGAAGGATTCAAAACCTATGCATTGACATCGGTCAGCAAAAGGTGTATCAAAAGATTGCTCCTATGAAACCAACAAAGATTGTCCTATCTTGTAACTCAAAATTTCTCCTTTTGTAACAATTGTTTTACTTGCTTTGCACATATGTGCTGGAGTTCCCTGCTGCTTGAGCCAAAAAAGATTCTGTAAAGGAGGAAAGAAAATCAAATGTGAGAAGGAGCGTCTTGGATCAATGTAGAGATATTAGAACAATTCAGAAAACACAGCCTAAATACCTTTCCAAATGCAGAAGGATTTCTGATTGATAGGTGAGCCAGTTACAGTCTGAATAACTTCAAACAGCATGCTCTTTGGAGTGCTCCTAAGCTCTTGTACAACCCCATAAATAGTTTTCCCATTATCAAAGTAAATGTGATTATTGGGGTGTTTTGTCTTGCAACCAGCATGTCGCTCAAATTCATATGCATTAATAACCTGGAAGAAATTTAATATCAGTCAGAGATAGCATTTTGGCTCAAAAAAGGATTCTACTGTATGATAAGGATCAACCACACACTTTACCTTGGAAAAATTACATGAGTGACAACTGCACAGATACCCAGCACCTTTTATAACACCTCGAAGTTCCTTCTAACAAGCATAGGAAGAACCAGACATGTGATGAATGATAAGCTACTTTGAAAGATGAACTCATTAATACTAAATTTTACCTCCCGTGACCACGCCTTATACTTTACTGAGAGACCATCCAGCATACCAGTGGATAGCAAACTTCTCACATTTGAAGGGAAGTTGTTTGAAATAGCCCTCTTAGACACTTTTATCTCCTCTTTTGTCCTGAGAATATTTTCAGTTGCAGGTGCAGATGTCTGTGTTGTACTTGAAAGTAAATTAGAACTAGATGCAACCAACTCTTTCTCTTTCACAGCTTCTGACTTGTGTGAAAGAGCTTGACACATCAACAGTTCATAGTCAGAAATAAACAAATCTGAGGAAGTAGTGTCATCCTCACGGTTACCGAAACATATGATAGTGCTCTCTCCTTTATCATAGGATCGTGGAACGAATGGCACATCATTACCCTCCTTGTGGTAGTTGTAATGAGATGACATAGTGCCATTGTCGACCTTATTGTATAGCTGGTTGGTTAACATAGAATTGCCATGACCCTTATTGTAAGCTTGAGCAATAGATATTAGATTTCTATCATCCATTGATATCGTATTACAAATATCATTGAATGTTGGATGTACAGATAAGCTGTCATTTCCCTTGTCATAGGATTGACCCATTGACATGAAATTGTTATCAGTCCTGTCATAGGAACCATCCATTGCTATCATATTGGCTCCCCCTTTGTTATAGTTGAGATTTGTTGATATGGAATTATCACCAGCCTTGTATAGACAAGGATTTGACAAAGGGTCACTGACTCCTCTATCATAGGGACTGTTTGCAGTAACAGACATGACATTCTCGGATCCCTTCACCTCGTTTACTCTGACTTTTCTAATTCCATCATAGTTAAAAACTAAACGAGGATCTTCTAATGCAGTTGATATGGATAAACCAAACGAGGATCCACTCCCAAAGGGGTCCATATTATCCTTTCTTTCCACACTCAGCTTGTCATCTATGCTAACAGAGGGAGTATTTGCATCTTCAAAAGGCATATTTACAGCATCTGGGGCAAATACTTGTTCGGCAAAATGGCCATTTAAGGAGTGAAATCCTGAGGAATTTCCCCAGGAAGGAACATTCGAGTTGAGAATTCCAGATAACAAATTGTTTGGAGCTTCTACTGCTTGTTTCTTATTGGGAAGCAGATCCACATCAGGGTCATCCATGAACCATGAACAAGCACGCTTGGAATCAATTCTAGAAGAATTGTCATTTGCCATGTCACCATCATTCAAACATTCAGGACCCTTTCCCATCCAAAATGCTTGATTGTGGAACGACTGTCAAACAAAAACCATTAGAAAGGTGCTCCTTCCTACCAAAGAATTTCAATGTAAAAAACCTTGCAACTAAATCCGAACTGTAGATTCATAAACTTTAGCATGCATCTTGTCACCAATAAGGAAAATGACTTATAAATACCAGTTCCATTAAAAACCATGAGAAAACAAAAATACTGCCTCGCCTCCTCTTAAACCTCTACATCGCGTCACATTCTCTATAGACCCCTTAAATTATGAATGCAGAAAATGGATCTGAACCAAAAATGCATTTCCAAGATAAAAAAGAAAAAAAGATGAAAACACTCTCATCTAGCTCTAGATTAACACACAGTGAATATGCATGCAAATACGATTGTTTCAATTAAATTTCCTAATCAAGTTGTCATAAATTTAACCACAAATTTCACCTATAGCTAATTGCGACCAGCAAAGGAAATAAAAAACAAAAAATAAAAACAGAAATTTCGACGAACTTATAGATTAGCAGAAAACTGCTTCATCGCCCCCTCCCCCTTCCCCACGGACCAGCTATGTAAAGATTTGCAACAAAGACCAACATGAGATAAAGATAAAAAAAAAATGCATGCAATTAGAAAAGTATAGGCAGATTGAGCATAATCAATGTTTAGTGAATCATGCAACAAAAGACATATACCGATTATAACTAGAACAGAATGGGAAAATTCCAAAGCAAGACACACATTTTCCTTACAAGCAACACAAAGTTTCGGTTGTAATTAAAAATGGAGCACAAAAGCACAAGCAGCAGCAAACAAATACTCCATGCAATGAAGCAGGAGCGAAACATACCATTTCCCTCTTCACTCGTTACAAAGAGAATGAAAAACTATGTTGGTCTTTCCAATGAAACTTGCCAATCGATAATGAGTGCTGCTTAGTCGAGAAAATTTCCTGCAACCGAGCACCCCCAAAAGCAACTTAAACTAAAAAGCATTGCTTTATTCGAAAATGGAACATGCAATGATAAAAACGGCATCTTTGGTGGGTGCAGAAGGTAATAAAAATTGGGTGAAGAAAGAAGAGGAAAACTCACATGTCAGTGAAAGGAGGAAGCGGAAAAGAAGAAAAAGAAGAGCATTTGCATCGGTTTTGATTTGATTGTGGTAGCCAAGTGAGTGGAAATGCGTTACTGTGAATGAAGCAATGAAGCTACGTTTGAGAGAGAAGGGTTGAGAATGATGCGAAGCAGAGGCACACGGTAAGATCGGTAAGAGGAAGTAGAAAGATATTGAGGATTTTGTGCTTGTCGGAAAAGTTAAAACGTGGTGCTCCGCACGATCCCATCGTCACGTTACATCTTTGCCGTACACGTGGCGTCATCGAGTTCTGTGCGTCAGAGGTTCATCATACGCCGGCTGCCTCGCCTCCTCTTACCTCAGTCACTGTCTATTCTATAGTTTCGGTTTTTTTGAAAAAACTAGAAACATGTATTCTCGTATAAACTTTATTCAAACTAGTGAAAACAATGTGACTTTATAATTAATTTAATTAAAAACATAATTAAGTTGAAATAAATAATGATTTAAAAGAATAAAACAATAAAATAATTACTTTAACTTTAAAATAAAATTTTAAAAATAAAATTAGAAATATAATTATTTAATTTTAAAACAATAGTTATTAAAAAGTAAAATTAAAAATATGTATTTAAAAAAGAAAATTTCTTTTACATACCTATAAATTAAATAATACGACCTCTATATTATGATAACAGTTCAAAATAGAGATACTTACGTGTGTTAAATATTACAACCTCAAAAAATAAGGTTTAATTGAACTTTTATTAGAAAACTCATTTTAAGTGTTTAAAATATTTTTAGTTATGGTCTATGTATTCTATTTTTTTAATTTTTTTCATCAACCGAAGAATTCCTTGATTTTATATTTTCATTTTTAACTCGTTAAAAAAAATTAAATTATTGGTCAACTTATTTATTTTACTACAAATGAAACTGGAGGTATTTAAATGAAAATAAGAAATATTTTAAACCTTTTTTTAATAAAATTAGACATATAAAATTTAATTAAATAAAATCTTAATTTAATTTAAAAATGAAAATAAAAATATTTATTTTTATTGAAGTTAAACTTGTAATAAAGGAATATTATTGAATCTTCACTCAATTAAATAGGATTTTAGAAGAATAAATTATACAAAATATTTATTTTATTTTGTTAAACATATAATAATATTATTAACATCTATTTAATTCAAAATTATAACTTCAATGATAAAATAATAATAAAAATGTTCGACTATATTAAATAATAACAAATCCATCAAAACTGGGAGTGTATATTTTTTTTGTTTGAAATTTTTTTATTAAGGGATAGATATATTTTTAGTTTTTAAATTCGAATATGAAAATAAAATTCATTTATATTTTAAACTTTAATATCTTTTAATTACTTAATTTAAAAGTGAATGGATATAACTTTTTTATATAATAAATTGTTTAGATTTTTTAAATCATATTTTATATTGATATTTAAATTAGAATGTGTTAAATGATATAAAAAATTTAAACATTATTTATAATATATTTAAAAACGTCAAAAAATTTAATACAGTTGGAATAAAAAAGTATATCTATTTATTTTCAAAATTTAAAAATCAAAATATATTAAATATATTTAAATTTAAAATAATAACAAATTACAAGTTTAAGTATATAAGAACTAAAATCATATTTAATTTTATTATTAAATATTTAAATATAAAAAAGTCTCTTTCTTTACTCCTTCAAAATTGTAACTGTAACCAAAATGAGACAATATAATAAAAATATTCAAGTGCCTTAAATGATGAAAACTCTCGTTTTCTTTTTTTAATACTTTTAAATTCAAGTTTTTGCTGTGCATAAGTTTAGCCATAAATGTTTCTATTTTCTAATAACTTTTTTATACTTTATATAGTTTTCCATGCATACATGTTTTACCCTCTCATTTTCATCATACATCTTCCAAAAATAGAATATTTCATAAGAGAATAGTGTGTTTATTAACATTTTGCAAAACATAATAATATAAAATAAGAATAAAGTCGTGAATCATTGAGAGATAAAATCACTTGTCAGTTATTATTTCGAATTAAATATGTTTTTTATTTTAAATAAAAATTGAAATTAATCTATTTTTAAAACTTTAAATCAATTTAGTTTTTTAATTTTAAAAATACGTAGATTTAATTTTTTAACCATCTTAAATTTATTTGATTTTTCATCTATTTTATAAAAATATTTAAATTATTTACACTATTTAAGATATTTCTACTTTAATATTAATTGAAAATATATTTAAAACTTTAAATAAATTTAGTAAAATTTAATTAAATTTAAAATATTATTTTTTATTAAAAGTTAAGCAACCACTGAAAATATATTTGACTTTATTATTTATACTACACATGTTTAATATAAAGACTGTAGTAAACCTAAGTTTTTACACTACATAACCATTATACGTTATCTTAGTTTTCTTATTACATTAAATATATATACTTTTTTTGAAAAGAAATAATTATCTTTGTTTATCATTTTTTTTATCTATTTGAATTTTTAATGAGTAAAAAAATACACAAATTGTCTAAATAGCAATCCTAATAATGTTAAAATTTACAATAATAGTAATCTGATAGATTTTTTAAATAACTTATTTTACTATGGAAAATAATTTAATACTTGAATTTAACTCCTTAACATTATGTAAGGATATAAATGTAGTTATCATTCAATATTTAGTAATACAAAGTATCTTAGTGATTAACAATAAAATAATCTTTTTCACTCTAATCAATACTGCATCTAAAATATATATTAATAATATTGTGGAATTTATTTATTTGACAATAGGACGACGAAAGTAAATATTAATTAATAAATTTAATGTAAATATGATATAAAAATGGGTAAACATTATATTTTTTTCTTTAATTTGATTTCATGTAATTCTGATATGGTTTCACATTAATTAGTAATGAATTCACCTGCATTGAATAAAATATAGGTAGATACTTATTACATTGTATTAATTTCATATTTATTTTGTTGCATCTGTTTCTCAATAGTGTTATAGGATTTAAATATCCTCGGAATTCAAAGTTATTACTGATATTATAATTTATTGTGTTCTGACATTTGTTTTTATGGTTTCTTAAACTATGTGCAAGTTAAAGATTCAGAATCATATTTATGTTGTTGGTAGCCTCTTATAAATATGTTTTAATTTTAGTTTTAAAAGAATTAACATGCTTATCATTTTTTCTTTAAACTCGTAAACAACTTTCATTTCTTGTTTATTTGAAATATAATTCCATAATAAAATTAAAATTTGTTGTTATGATTTAAAAAACAGATATGCAGGAGTCTTAAATTTTTCATACATTGATTCTTTTTTATATGATTGTGAGTGTAGAGAGGGTAGCAGATCAGGTGAGGTATGGATAGTATGTTATCCAGTTCGATTAAACAAAATTCTTTGTTACATGTTTGATACCGTAAAAAAATATTTATAATTTATCTTATACCTGTAAGTACTCATAGATATTTTTTAATGAGGGGTAGAGGGGTGAAGGCAAAGAAAAAAGTAGGCGAAAGAAACAGGAGAGAGAAAAAACGGAGAGAAAAAGAAGAAGGGGGAAGGAGAGGGAAGAGCAAAAAGGACGCAGGGGGAGGGGGGGGAAAGGGGGGAGGGGGGGGGGGGGGGGGGGGAGGGTATAAAGGAAATAAGGGGGGAAGGTGGTGGGGGGTGGGGGTCTGGAGGGGGGGGGTAGGCGTTGGGTGGGGGGGTGGTGGGGAGGGGTGTGGTGGGGGGGGGGTTGTGGGGGGGGCGGGAGGGAAAAAGGGGTGGGGGGGGGGGGGGGGTGGGGGGAGGGGGGTGATTGTGGAAGATAGATAAAAGTGAGGGTGGTAGGGGTGGAGGGTAGGTAAAGGAGGGGGGTGGGGTGGGGGGGTGGGGGGGGGGGGGTTGGGGGGGGAGGATGGGGGCGGGGGGAGATGGGGGGTGGGGGTGGAAGGGGGCGGGGAGGGGGGAAGGGGCGGGGGTAGGGGGTAAGGGGGGGTGGGGGGTGGGGGGGGGTGGGGGGGGGGGATGAGGGGGGGGGGGGGGGCTGGGAGGGGGGGTGTGCAGGGTGGATGAAGAGTGGGTGGGGGGGGGATGTGAGGGATCAAAAGATGGAGGGGGGCGGGGGGGGGGGCGGGGGGGGGGGAGGAAAAAAGGGGGGGGGGGGGGGGGAGGGGGGTGGGAGGGGGGGGGTAAGAGAGGTGGGGTAGAGGGGGGGCGGGAGGAGGGTTGGGGGTGGGGGAAGGGGTAGTGGGGCGCGGGGGAGTAGAAGGGGGCGAGGAAGGGGGTTTAGGGGGTGGGGGGGGGGGGGGGTGGGTGGGGGGGGTGGGGGGGGGGTAGGGGGGGGGGGGGTGTGGGGAGGATGTAGGGAGGGGGGGGAGTTGGTGGGGGAGGGAGGGGTCGGGGGGGCGGGGGGGGGGGGGGGGGGGGGGTGGGAGGGCGGGGGGGGGAGGGATGGGAGGTATGGGGGAAGGGGGGGGGGCTAGGTGGGGGTAGGGCTGGTGGTGTGAGGTAGGAGGGGGGGGAGGGGTGGAGGGGGGTGGGTTGGGGGGGGTGGCTGAGGGGGGTGGAGGTTGGGGGGGGAGGGGGGGAGGGGGGAGTCTGGGGGTGGAGGGGGGTGGGGGGGGGGGAGGGGGGGGTGGGGTGGGGGGGGGGGTAAAGGTGAGGGGGGGGGGGGGTAAAGGTAGGGTGGGGGGAGGGGAGTGGGGTGTGGGGGGGGGGTGGGGGGGAGGGTAAAAGGTGTGGGGGAGAGGGAGATGGGAGGGGGGGGGTGGGGGGTGTGGTGGGGGGGGTGGGTGGGGAGGGGGGGGGAGGGGTGGGGAGGGGGGGGGGGGGGGGAGGGGGGGGGTAAGGCGGGGGGGGGCTGGGTGGGGAAAGGCGGGGGAGGGGTGAGGGGGGGGGAGGGGGGGTGGGGGTGGGGGGGGGCGGTGGGGGGGTGGGGGGGTTGGGTAAAGGGGGGGGTAGGGTGGGGGGGGGGTTGTGGGGGGGGGGTGTGGGGGGGGGGGGGGGGGAGGGGGGGGGGTGGGGGGGACGTGAAAAGGAGGGGGTTGGTGGGGTGGGGGGGGGGGTTTGGGGGGCGGGGGAGGGGGGGGTAAGGGGGTTTGGGGGGGGGGGGGGGGGGGGGGGGGGGAAAAAGGAAGGGAGGGGGGGGGTGGGGGGGGGGGGGGGGGGGGGGGGAAAGGGGGGGGGGGAAGGGGGGGGGGGGGGGGGGGGGTGGGAAGGGAAGTGGGGGGAAGAGGGGGGTGGGGGGGGGGGGGGGGAGGGAAAAGGGTGTGGGGGGGGGGGGGGGGGGGGGTGTAGGGGGGGTTG